GCCTCGGAGCCCGCTCGGGGTGCGGGAACGGCCAGGCACAGGGTCCGGGACGACTCCTCCGGGCCCCGGCCCCGCCCGACTGACCTGTGACGCTGGCCCGGGTGACGCGCTGCACTACGGCCTTCATGACGGCGGCTGCAGCGGCTGGGCGGCGCCGCTGCTGCTCGGGCCTCCTGACGCCAGGCAGTTCTTCACGCAGCGCCCTCTGGGGGTAACACTTGGAAGTGCGCCAGCGGCCTGTCTGACAAGTCCAAGGCGTCCCCACCCGCGTTAGCCACGCCCACTCTGGGCCTATTTAAAGTAGCCACCCAAAGCGCTCTCAAGGAGCTCTGGTAGCGTAGTGCCTAAGGCACTTGACTGCTAACCAGAAGCCTGGCGGTTCAAATCCACCACCCACTCCTTGGAAGGCCGGTTGGGCAATCTATTCCCTAGTGATACCGCCGGGAAACCCAAGGAGTTGCTATGAGTGTAACTCACTGCCGACTCCAGGGCAGTGAGTTACTCAAGGATAGGCACCGCCCTGACCCTAACTAAATACCAAACAAATTATTATCAGTGAGGAAAAATAATTCTGTTACACTGTGTCTTCCACCTCTATTATCATTGGCGGTTGTAGAAAAAGCATTGAAATGGAAAACAAGTACCATCATTTGGGGAGAAAAGATTGCACACTAATATGCTTGAATGTTGAATACTAGAAAACTTCATCAAGTGGTCAAGGTTAACATCATCAGTAATGAAACAATAGTACGTATGTACCTCCTGATACTGCAATGAGAAGGACACCATGCCAGTGTTTTGGTATTTCTGTCAAAACTGTGTAATCTGAATCCAATTATGAAGAAATACTGTTTTTGTTAGCTGGTGTCTATCCCATGGGCCACAACTTAGGAGGCCCCCATGCCCAACTGAACAAAATACTGCCAGATCCTGGGCCCATGATCAGTTGGGAACTGAATTGTTATGATCCACAGGATTTTCACTGATTTCAGAAGCAGAGCACCAGGCTCTTCTTCCTGGGCTCATCTTGCTCTGGAAGTTCCACTGCGACCTGTTCAGCATCATAGCAACAACCAAGCCTCCACTGACAAGCAAGTGGTGGCTGCACATGGGGGCACTGGCCAGAAATCCAACTCAGGTTTCCTGCCTGGAAGGCAAGAATTCTACCACTGAACCACTCAAACCGAAACCAAGGAACATTCTGTAGAATAACTAGCCATGATTCTCCAAAAAATATAAAAGCAAAGAAAGTCTGAGAAACTGTTCCATATTAGAGACTTTTTTAAGAAACAGGAAAATGAAATAGGATGCATGAACTTGGGTTGTATCCTTCCCAGGAAAAACAAAACAAAACACACACAATTACCTTACATAGTGGCAGAAGATTAGCCCCTCGCGTTGGAAGGCGATCAAAATATGACTGGGGAAGAGCTGCCTCCTCAAAGTAGAGTCGACCTTAATAACATGGATTGAGTAAAGTTTTCAGGACCTCCATTCGCTGATGGAACATGACTCAAAACGGGAAGAAACAGCTGCAACTTCCATTAATAATCAGAACATGGAATATATGAAGTATGAATCTAGGAAAATTGGAAGCTGTCAAAAATGAAATAAAACACATAAAGATTGATACCTTAGGCATTGTTGTTATGTTGTTGTTATGTGCCGTCGAGTCGGCCCCGACTCATAGCGACCCCTCCTTGGGTTTTCGAGGCAGTATCACTACGGAAGTAGGATTGCCCAACCTTCCTTCCGAGGAGTGGATGGTGGGTTTGAACCGCCAGCCGTCTGGTTAGCAGGCAAGTGACTTAGCCACTATGCTACCAGAACTCCTACCTTAGGCATTAGTAGGCTAAAATGGACTGGTTTCGGTCATTTTGATTAAGACAATCATGTTGTTTACTATGTTGGGAATGACAAATTGAAGAGGAATAGCATCGCATTCTTTGTCAAAAAGAATGTTTCAAGATCTATCCTGAAATACAATGCTGTCAGTGATAATATACATCTACAAGGAAGACCAGTTAATACTACTATAACTGAAATTTACGCACCAAACACTAAAGGCAAACATGAAAAAACTGAAGATCTTTTACCAAATTCTGCAGCCTAAAATTGATCAAACATGTAATCAAGATGTATTGATTCTTGCTAGTGATTGGAATGTGAAAGTTGGAAGTGAAAAACAATCACTAGTAGTTGGAAAGTACGGCCTTGGTGATAGAAATAATGCCAGAGATTGCATGGTAGAATTTTGCAAGACGAACAACTTATTCATTGCAAATACTATCATTATACAACATAAACTGTGGCAGTATACTTGGACCTCACCAGATGGAATACACAGGAATCACATTGACTATATCTCTGGAGAGAGGCAAAGGAGCTCAATATCTACAGCCAAAAGAAGCCCAGGAGCTGACTGTGGGACACACCATCAACTCCTCATATGAAAATTCAAGTTGAAACTGAAGATAATTAAAGCAGGGCCACGAGAGCTACAATATTACCTCGATTATATCTCACCTGAATTTAGAAACCATCTGAAGAATAGACTTGACACACTGAACACGAGTGACTGAAAACCAGACAAGTTGTGGGATGATGTCAAGAATATCATACATGAAGAAAGCAAAATATCATTTAAAAAGCAGGAAAGGAAGAAAAGGCCAAAATGGATGTCAGAAAAGGCTCTGAAACTTGCTCTTGAATGGAAAGCAGCTAAGGCAAATAGAAAAAACGACAAGATAAAAAAACAGAACATTTCAAAGAGCAGCTCAAGAAGACAATATCAGTTATTATAATGAAATATGCAAAGATCTGGAGCTAGAAAACAAAAAGAACACACCCAGTATTTCTCAAACTGAAAGAACTGAAGAAAATAATCAAGTCTCGAGTTGCAATGTTTTATGGGCAAAATCTTGAATGATGCAGGAAGCAGCAAAAGAAGATGGAAGACATACACAGAGTCACTGTACAAATAAGCATTGGTCGATGTTCAACTATTTCAGGAGGTGGCAGCTGATCAAGAATCAATAGTATTGAAGAAGAAAGTCAAAGCTACACTGGAGGAATTTGTGGGAAACAAGGCTACAGGAATTGAGGTATACTCATTGAGATGTCTCAAGAAATAAATGCAGCACTGGAGGCACAAGTACGTCTATGCCAAGTAATTTGGAAGACAGCTACCTGGCCAACAGACTGAAAGAGATTCATTTTTATATCCGTTCCAAAGAAAAGTGATTCAGGAGAATGTGAAAACTATCAAACAATATTGTTAACATGCAACTAAAATCTTACTGAAGATAATTCAAAAATAGTTGCAGTGGAATATTAACAGAGAATTTCCAAAAATGCAAGCTAGATTCAGAAGAGGGAGTGGAATGAGGGATATCATTGCTGATGTCAGATGAATCTTGGCTAAAAGCAAAGAATACCAGAAAGACGTTTACTTGTGTTTCATTGACTAGGCAAAGACATTCAACTGTGTGAATCACAACAAATTTTGGATAACTTTGGGAAGAATGGGAATTCTAGAACACTTAATTGTGTTTATGAGGAACCTGTACATAAACCAGGAGGCTGTAGTTTGAACAGAACAAGGAGATACTGCATGGTTTAAAATTAAAAAAAAGGGGGGTGGGCAGTGCATCAGGCTTGTATCCTTTCACTATATTTATTCAATCTGTATGCTGAGCAAATAATCCAAGAAGCTGGACTATATGAAGAAGATCATGACATCAGAGTTGGAAGAAGACTCATTAACAACCTGCAATATGCAGCTGACACAACCTTGCTTGCTGAAAGTGAAGATGACTAGAACCACTGACTAATGAAGATTAAAGACTACAGTCTGAAGTATGGATTAAACCTCAACATAAAACAAAAATAGAAGTCTGCAGTATGAATTAAACCTCAACATAAAACAAAAATCCTCACAACTAGACCAATAAGCAGCATCATGATAAAAAGAGAACAAAAAGGTTGAAGTTGTCAAATATTTCAGATTACTTGGATCCAGAATCAAGCTCATGGAAGCAGCAGTCAAGAAATCAGACGTCATATTGCACTGGGTAAATCTGCTGCAAAGACCTCTTTGAAGTATTGAAAAGCAAAGATATCACTTTGAAAACTAAGGTGAGGCTGACCCAAGCCATGGTATTTTCAATTGCCTTATATACGTGTGAAACCTGGTGGATAAATAAGGAATGCCAAAGAAGAGTTGATGCCTTTAATAGTAGGGTTGTTGTTGTTGTTGTTGTTGTTATGTGCCGTTGAATCGGACTCAACTCACAGCGACCCCTCCTTGGGTTTCTGAGGCAGTATCACTATGGAAGTAGATTGCCCAACCTTCCTTCCGAGGAGTGGCTGATGGGTTTGAACTGCCAGCCTTCTGGTTAGCAGTCAAGTGCCTTAGGCACTACACTACCAGAGCTCCTTTAATAGTAGTGTTGGTGAAGAATACTGAAAATACCACAGACTGCCAGAAGAACTAAGAAATCTTTCCTGGAGGAAGTACAGTTGGAATGCTCCTCAGAACTGAGAATGACCAGACTTCATCTCACCTACTTTTGTCATGTTGTCAGAAGGGAACATTCCCTGGAGAAGAATATCATGCTTGATAAAGTGGAAGGTCAGAGAAAAAGGGAAAGATGCTCAACAAGAGGGACTGACACAGTGGCTGAAATGATGGGCTCAAGTATAGCAAGGATTGTGAGGATGGCACAGGACCACGTAGTGTTTCATTCTGATGAACGTAGGATTACTAAGAGTAGGAGCTTACCCAATGGCAACTAACAACAACAACAACAACATATATATGTTGTAAAGTTCATTGTTGGGACAATTGGTATGGCATGAGTAAATTAAATCAGCGTATCTCAAACATGTTGACTTATGGACCCCTTAATGTTTTTTTAAAAATTTACTTCACATGGCAAATAGCTTATGCTAGACCTCTGGCAAAATGGCAGAATAGGCAGACAAGCCACACAGACCCTATTCAACAAAGAAAAGAGAAACCAGTTGACACAGATACAGAAGATAATCCTGGAGCCCTGAGCTTTGAAAGGAAGGATAAAGAACTGGATTAAAAACCAAGTAGTAGAAGAACTTGAATGAAAACAGTGAATAAGGAGACAAACGGAGCTGCAAACTGTTGGCTATCCTGATGGAACGGCCAGTTTGAATACTTACAAGTGG